TTTAGGTCAGGGGTAGCCAACACTGTAGCGCCCTTCAGCTTGTTGTTAGACTGCAACTCCTATTAACCCTGACAATTGGCCATCTTGGCTGGGGCTGCTGGGAATTGTAATTCATAATATCTGGAAGGCTACCTCTTCCCTAGATACTGCACCTTTTGCTTTTGGTAAAATATAAAGGTGCTGATTAGGGACACGGGTGGCGCTCAGTCCCTGCTCCTGCCAACCTAGCAGTTCGAAAGCACATCAAAGTGCAAGTAGATAAATAGGTCTGGCGGGAAGGTAAACGGCGTTTCCATGTGCTGCTCTGGTTCGCCAGAAGCGGCTTAGTCATGCTGGCCACATGACCCGGAAGCTGTACACCGGCACCCTCGGCCAGTAAAGCGAGATGAGCGCCACAACCCCAGAGTCGGCCACGACTGGACCTAATAGTCAGGGGTCCCTTTACCCTTTACCTTTTAAAGGTGCTGATTGCCTGAAGACTCACACATTTATGACAAACTAAAATGTTTGAGGGATTTGTGGTAAACTTTCTTACAGTACATAATTCTGCACAGGGATTTGCTATAGGGTGCAATCCTGTATACCCTTACCTGGAAATAAGTTTCATTGAATTCAATGGCACTTCTGTCATCTATGCTCTGGTAACTTCTAGGTTATACGTAGGGCTGCCTGCCTCTGAAGGCAGTTTGGAAACTTCAGCTGGTGCAGAATTCAGCCTCCGGGTTGCTCACAAGATGGTTTGCGCATATAACGCCAACCCGGCTGCCAATTAATTTCCTATTAATTCCCATGACCCATTGTCATGTTTGTCACGTTCATTAATTTCAGTGGGTCTACTCGCACTAATGCAACCCACTGAGTAGTGTACTAATTGTGTTATTGATTACTTTGATTGCTAGATTGCATTTATATTGCCTTTTTGCTAAGGCACCCAATTTAAAAATGGTATCAAATATAGAGCAACAGAGTCCTCTCAATCTGCTGTTATCAGGAGCTGAACCGTACGTGCTCTCTGGTCTGGGCCTCCTCATTTATGCCTTTCCTCTGGCCACTCTAATTGGTTTGTTGTACATCTTATTGTTTTGTTTTGGGATAAGTATCATGAATGCTGATAAAGAAATACCTTTTTTTTTAAAAGGCATCTAGTGGTCACTACTCTAAAGGTAAAGGTAAAGGTACCCCTGCCCATACGGGCCAGTCTTGACAGACTCTAGGGTTGTGCGCTCATCTCACTCAAGAGGCCGGGAGCCAGTGCTGTCTGCAGACTCTTCCGGGTCATGTGGCCAGCATGACAAGCTGCATCTGGCGAGCCAGCGCAGCACACGGAACGCCGTTTACCTTCCCGCTAGTAAGCAGTCCCTATTTATCTACTTGCACCCGAGGGTACTTTCGAACTGCTAGGTTGGCAGGCGCTGGGACCGAGCGACAGGAGTGCACCCCGCCGCGGGGATTCGAACCGCCGACCTTTCGATCGGCAAGTCCTAGGCGCTGAGGCTTTAACCCACAGCGCCACCCGCGTCCCTGGTCACTACTCTACCACCCATCAAATTTGTCCCCTTCCATGGACTCTGTCTTCCACAACATTTCCCCTTTAAATCCTGAAAATGAGATGCCTCTGAATAATGATACAATATTATACTGTGGAAAAGACAACAATGAGAAACAACAACATAAAATAAATGATTCAAGAGGGAAAATATATTGAGTAACGATGAATCCAGAACAAAATTGTGACCATAACTGACCTGGAAAAATGGTGTGAAAGAGAGCTCGGAAGTCTTTGGGGGTAAATATTTGGGGTAGCTTTTCAAAACAAGCCAACTGCAAAAGTTGGCAAAAACCCAGAAATGAATCTAAAAATTATTTCAAGTTCTTATGGTAATTTATTGAAGTAATTAATCTTTTAGCACTACCTATTCCCACTTACAGCTAAGTGTTATGCAAAGTTATCAAAATATTTTAGCAAACAAAACTCTTACCTGGAAATTATCATCTATTTTGAATGTTTTGAAAATGTAAGCTGTGAACTACGGTGTTTGGCATCAATCCCTGAATGCTAACACAATCACCTTGCTGAATAACTATGCAGCCAAAAACATGGAAACAAACTCAACGAATTCTCTTAAAAGTTTGCTGCATATAGATTGTTGAAGCAAAGAGAAATAGGCAGACACTTAACACCTTGACAAAAATCAATCCAGTTTGTGACAGGGTTTCTTTCCCCCACCCCACCCTGCTGAACACTTACTTTTCTTTCTTTATTTTAAAATTTCTAAACTCTCTCAATCTGAATAGCTCCTCTCAGGATGGTTTACTACAAACACAGCTTTCTGAGCCATGGTTGCTATTCAGTATTGAATAGATTCTTTATTGTCATTACACAAGTGCAACATTGCACAAAGTGCAACGAAATTGGATGCCATCCCTTAAAACAACAAAAGCAAAACAACAACAACAACCAAACAAACCACATTCCAGCCACACCCACACCAACACCCATCAAACTCCCAGGTCACACTATCGAGTTACAGCATTCAAAAAGGCCACAGCTCTTGGATAGAAACTGTTTCTCAGTCTATTTGTCTTTGACTTGATGTTTCTATATCTCCTGCCAGAAGGCAGTAGTGCAAACAGACTGTGTCCCGGGTGAGATGAATCCTGCAGGATGTTATTTGCTTTCCTAAGACAACGGGAACTGTACAGTTCTTCCAAAGATGGGAGAGGATGACCAATAATCCTTTGGGCTGTGGTTATGACCTTCTGGAGCACCTTCCTCTCCCTAGCTGTACAACTGGAGAACCAAGCACAAATACAGTATGTAAGAATGCTCTCTATGGAGCCTCGGTAGAAGGACACCAGCAGTCTCTCACTCAGATTGTTCTTCTTTAAAAGTCTGAGGAAATAAATTCACTAGAAGATAAATCTAAACAGCTGATGTTGCCCTTTAGAATAGAATAGAATAGAATAGATTCTTTATTGTCATTACACAAGTGCAACATTGCACAAAGTGCAACGAAATTGGATGCCATCCCTTAAAACAACAAAAGCAAAACAACAACAACAACAACCAAACAAACCACATTCCAGCCACACCCACACCAACACCCATCAAACTCCCAGGTCACACTATCGAGTTACAGCATTCAAAAAGGCCACAGCTCTTGGATAGAAACTGTTTTTCAGTCTATTTGTCTTTGACTTGATGTTTCTATATCTCCTGCCAGAAGGCAGTAGTGCAAACAGACTGTGTCCCGGGTGAGATGAATCCTGCAGGATGTTATTTGCTTTCCTAAGACAACGGGAACCGTACAGTTCTTCCAAAGATGGGAGAGGATGACCAATAATCCTTTGGGCTGTGGTTATGACCTTCTGGAGCACCTTCCTCTCCCTAGCTGTACAACTGGAGAACCAAGCACAAATACAGTATGTAAGAATGCTCTCTATGGAGCCTCGGTAGAAGGACACCAGCAGTCTCTCACTCAGATTGTTCTTCTTTAAAAGTCTGAGGAAATAAATTCTCTGCTGGGCCTTCTTCACCAGAGCAGTGGTATGTGCGCTCCAAGTCATGCCCTGATCGATAGTTACTCCCAAAAACCTGAATTCCGCCACCCTCTCCACCCGTTCCCCGTTGATATACAAGGGCTGAATGTCCGCCTTTTTTTTCCTGTAATCCACCACCAATTCCTTGGTCTTAGCCGTATTAAGAGCCAGATTGTTCTCTCCACACCAAACACAGAGCCGCTCCACCTCGTCCCGATAGGCGGACTCATCCCCTCCTGAAATGAGGGTTTTACCTGAGAGGGTCTCTTAAATAATTATTTAGGGGTGTCAAAGGCATTATGCATGATCCATAGGTTTTCTTCCTATGGCCATGGGAGTCAGTGTAGCTACAAGATCAGAAGCTCTGAAAAGGTACACACACACACACACACGAGAGAGAGAGAGAGAGAGAGAGAGAGAGAGAGAGAGAGAACACAAAGCTGTCCAGAGCTGTGCTTAGAGGAGATCATTACTAGCTATGGACAAATGCCACCATTTGATGACTTGTGTTCCATTTTTGCATTAATCTTCAATTTTAAAAAAATCTTCATGAAAATTCACATCTAAATAACATATCTGAAAGTATTATATCTCAAAATACACATTTTAAAATACATTTTGATTTTTTAAAACAACAACAACAACAAAAACAAAAACAACAAAACAACAAAAACAAAAACAACAACTGCACTACAACATTCAGAGAAGTGAAAAATCTGATTGATAGCAACATTTGAATCGGTGTTTTAGTCGTGAATCTCAGGACAGTCTGTATCAGAATTCACAAAGATGAAAGCCCTCTTTACATATTCTATATTAGTGTTAAACAAACATGTAAAGTGGGATCACAGTGACCCTTCTGATCACCCTCCACAAATTAGAGGGTGCTCTTTTGCATATTTTAGAATCCTAGAAAATCAGGGTTCTAAAACACAGTATGATCACAGTATGATCAGAATGTTGGGTCACCCTCCTACAATCAAAACTGCCTCAGTCCCAAATTGGAAGTCAAAAGCTACCTTACTAAAGCTTCAGCAGCATGCACGTTTTTCTACCTTGCATATTTTAACAGCATAAGTACCTAAACAGTATTTGTTGGTATTTAAATATACTTAGATCATATTCCATTTTAGCCTAATTTAGTTTTCATCTGCCAAGCAGTCATTTCCAGATTGTCAGGAGGATACGAAGTAAAAGGGAGTCATTTGAATAAGGTTAGTGTAGTTCTATTTCAAATGTTGCCTTTGTCTTCTATGACTCTTAATTCAGCTAGATTTTCCTTGATAACAAAAGTAGCTTCTAAAGAATACTTGATGTCTCAGCTATCTCAGTCAAAATAATAGTCGCTTTTCAAAAGTACAAGGTTACCTTATCTCTTGATAGTGTGAGAGGCATTGGAAAGCAGATGGATATCAAAAAATAATCTTACCTTGGAAGTTCTATTATAACCATAAACTTACCATATTAATTGGATCGACCGGACCAATGCTGTTAACATAGACATCAGTTTCAATTACTGTAGTTCTCACTAAACAAAACAGTAAGCATAATTCCATGTGAAATGCGGTGCTTCCTTTGTTGTCTAGTAATGTAATTTTTTTGTGACTCAATAGAAGACCACACCATTAGTCTTCCTAATGCATCCCTTTCTGTGGACATACAGCTTCATGGGCATTGTACACAGCTTGGTATTGGCCTTCAGATGGTATGCTATGCTACTATGCTGGGCACACTGCAACATGCCTGGCCATTTTTAACAATAGGGTACCCTTCCACACCTTGTGCTGGCATCCAGTTGCCTACTACATCCATCCAGGCCCACAGCAGGCTATTCTATGGGAGCTCAAGCTCTGCAAGCCCAACGTCCCAGGTTCAGTACCCCATAACTCCAGGTTACAATGGAACAGGTAAATGATGATGCACCTAGGACCCTGAGAAACAGGTGTCACTCAGAATAGACAATACATCCTTGTGCAAATTAATTGAAACAAAGCATGTTTTCCATCTGACTCGTAATCCTGTACTCAAAACAAACATGAAAAGTCAGTTGATCATTATGGTGTCGGAAGCCTGCAGCCAGTAGAAGGAATGATGCGCTTGCCACAATATAGTGAGGTTCTATGAAAGAGTGTTATTCCAGAGCTGGAAAAGAGGTATCCTGACGGTACTGGGATATTGCAGCAGGACCTAGCCCCCTGTCACACATTGAAAGCAGTGAAGAAATTCATGACAGAGCAGCAAATACAGGTACTTGATTGGCCAGGGAATTCCCCGGACGTAAATCCCATTGAAAATTTGTGGGCTATATGCAGAAGTCGCCTCCGTGCTGTAGACTGTACGACTACGGAGAAGCTCATTCAGGTGCTGATTCAAGTGTGGTACAGGGATCTGAAAATCAACAGTGACTGTTCGAAACTAGTAGACTCCATGCCAAACCGTGTTCAAATGCTGCTTTAAAATAGTGGCGGTCATATCCGTTACTAATGTACGTACAGTATATGTGAGTTTTGTACATGTATATGTGAGTTTTGTAGAATAAACTACATTGTTTGTTTCAATTAGTTTGCACAAGGGTGTAAAAGGCTACATGGACCAATAGTCTGATAGTATAAGGGAGTTCCTTATGTACTCCAACATGGAACATTAGAGGAGCACATAGAGGAAACAGCTGTTGAATGCCCATATGTGGTGCATGGAAGGGTTCCCTGCTATATAATGTAGCCAGCTAGGCAGAGGTTTTGCTGGCATATCAGCAGCATCCTTGCAGAAGGTTGGCAGAGGAAGAAGAAGGATTGGCACTATTCAGTGTCATCAGACCTCCTCCTGAAAACACAGAGTTGCTTGCCTACTCCTCTGCACATTTGGGAGGGGGTAGATCAGGCCAAACACCTGCAATTTATCGATTTTAAAATGTTCTTAATATAAGCATCATGCTTCGGTGGAACACCTCATGTAAAACTTTGCTCCTCTATTTATGTTCAGACCCAATGCGTGCAGAAGTCTCACTGAACTGAATGGGTCTTATTCCAAGGCAAGTACTGTAGGATTGCAACCTTAGTTGACATAAAATATTGTTTATTAACATGGATCATATTAAAACACTGGGAGGAAAGATAGGTTTTTTTAAGCTTTTAAAGCTGGGGCATGGGGAGCGGATGGCAAGCATCTATACTCCAAATTATGATTAATGCACAAAAGTAACAAATGGGTAAAAACCAATCAAATGCACCACTAATTATGCAGCCTGCAAATTAATACATTGAAAACACAAAACCAATTCTTTCTCTCTCTCAATATGTTCTTAGCAAAGATAGGTTTAGAAAATCCATTAGCTTCTTCAGCCCTTCGTAATTGTATCCCGACCAAAGCACAACTCAGCTTTATTAATATCTTTTCAGCTAGACTCTTGATCAATACACAACACCGGGCACAAAATCAATCACTTATATGAAAGAACAGTGACTCAGAACTTAATTGTTATGTTGCAGAGTATTTTCAAACTTAACTTCAAAGAAAATATCTTCACCGGCCCACTCCCCTGTCCTTGTCTGCCTGAGCAATAATTCATTTAATTGTGAATTTCTCTCTGCTTGGGAGCCACCTGAGTCATACACGTAAACTTTAAAAACTATAATACACATTTCACAACCCACCCCAAATCTAACAAAATGGGGTGGGCAGCAATGTAATCAATGCCATCTCCAGATAACCTCAATAGCTAATGAGCAACAGTTGTCATTTGAGCCCATCTCCTTGTGCCATAAGAAAGGTGGTTCCTCACTTTGAAAGCAGACTTAATTATTTTTCAGGTATCGTATGTAAACAGAGTTCATTGCTGCAATTGGGGTGGGGCGTAGGTGTGTGGCTTCAGGTTGCTTTCCCTAGGTGCAAAATAGGATAGAAATGTGACTATGATCAATTAAGCAATTAAAGAAGTGTAATCAAAAGAGGAACTTTCAGCACGGAAGAGTTTAGTGATTTGTTTGTCTTTTTATCTGGACTATGGGGGTCGTATAAGCCAGGAATAACTTTACAATAAAATCAGTATATTGAATCTCTGCTTTTAATAGACACGCAGGTCCGACTTTCGAAACGCAATGCATTCCCAAGAAATTGTTCATTAGGCAAGTGTTCACATAATGCGCTGAGGGTTTCCACTATTTCCTATGAGAACATTTCTAATTTGTTGCATCTCCCTCCCGGCCCTGGTTTCTGCCAGAAACTGCTGCAGTCAACCAGCAAATGGCAAACAAAGGAAAGACTGATTTGTCCTCCCTCCATGGTTTCGGCCCAATATGGCTGCCGCTGACCAGCAAAGCACAAACAAGCAAGGAAGTGGGCAAATCCCAGCTGTTCAGATATCCGAATCCTCAGTTGTTGTAGCGAGGCTTGGGTATAATTATTTTTGTTTCGATAACTGAAATTTTGGATAATGAGTGTTCCACTAGCAGGTCTTACATGCATTACATTAAACAGACACTTTGTGATAAGTTGGATCCTCCTAACAGAGGGTCCATGTTGTGCTCAGCCCTGGAACTCTTCCCCCAATTGGCTTGTGGGTGGGGCTTGCCCCGATCCAAGCCGGTGGTGCCACAGTTATGCCAATGGCCTTTAGCCAATCGGCAACGTGGCAAGGTTGGGGGTATTTATTTGGCAGCGCGACGTAGGGACCTCCTTTTGCTTCACGCTGCCAAACACCCGCCCACCCACCCGTCAATTAGGTCATGTTTGGCCTTGCTTTGGACTTCGGTTGGTCGCCTGTTTTGGAACGGGGGCCGGGTAGGAATTTTGTCCAATGTGGCAGATTGGCTGTGGCCACTTGGTTTTTGCCTACCTCTTAGCAATCATCACAACTTTGTAAGTTTTGGCGGTTAGGCATTGGTTTAGGGGAATGTGGGGAGGGGAGGTGCGGCCATCACCTGCCCCTCCAATTAATAGGGTATTCCGTTAAAGGAATCCGGGGGTCTGGATCTCGTCCGAAGCCCGGAGAGAGGCTAGGGCCATGCCAGAACCCCCGGGAACCCGAGGGGTGAGCACCAGTCAATATACATTGATGGAGCTCCCCCTGCTGGTAGGTTATCCTTCCAGGCTTCCTGCAGGGTGGGGCAGGAGCCAATTATAGTTTTGATACCAATGCCTAAGTCAATACCAGTCACATTTGTGTATTTAATAAAGTTGTGGCCAAAATTTGCCCATTAACATTTAAACTAAATTCCGTCTCCACTGTGTCTTTATTTCCATGGGGGATGGGTTTTGGGGCTTGGAGCACAGTTATCCCAGAATTAGAGGCCTAATCCAGTATGCTGCCAAGATATGTCAAGAACAGAAACAGCTGTTGCCAAGATGTATTCAATATATATACTTTTAAAACTGAAATTTTAATACCACTTACCTCCAATATCTGGTCGGAGTTTATTATCATAGCCTTGGAGTAAAGAGTTCAGTATATGAGTGACATCTCCTTCGTGAATCTTTGGAGCAAGCACCCATGTTTTGTTCACAGTTAGGTCTTCGTCATCTTCATCATCTGCTTTATCCATGCTAATGGTAGTTCAATGAAAGGTTGGGAGAGGGAAAATAATGGAACTTAGCAGTGTGAGGAATGAAATATTCAACAATCAGTGTTGCATAAAATAAATATGCAAAAGCATTATAATAGCAGCAGTTAGGGTCACAATGAAACAAAAAATGGGTTAAAAAATAAAATTAACTGTTCATTCCTAGCCCAACTATCTTCATTTTCCTGAAAAATCAGTCAACTTGATCCCAGTGAAGTTGTATAACTGAACACTGTGCATTTTAGTGACATTATCAGAACTAGAGGGGGATAGTACCACAGGTCTGTAACAGCAACTCCCAATATAATTTATATGGGGTTTACTCAATCATGTTTTCCTTCACCTTAAAAACTCCTAAGAATTTTTTTTAAAGAATTTTATTAAAAATCTGTAACTATTTTCTTTTGACACAAGTGAGTATAATTTGCAAGCACGCTAGTCCCTCAAGAGTAGATACAACCTGCCAAATTATAGGCAAATATGTTCAGGGGTTTTTGTGTTGCGTAGTTTCAAAATTTAATTATTATTTTTAAGGAAATGTTGACAATATTTGTTTTATTCTGAAGCAGAATTGAATGAAATTTGTAGGCAAGGTCACCCCTTCTGAGCACATGGGCCGTTCCAAATTTCCAATGGATAGCGGAAGTATTTTTCTGCTAGGGCAGCCGTTGCTGTTTGGGGGTGGGTAATCTCCACCAGCATTCTGTGAGCAATGAGTCTGAAAACTTCAGGCAAGACAGAGGCACTCATAGCTAAGAAATCCACTGAACTGCAGTTAAAGAGACTCAGGGGCTTTTGTGCTAGATACTGTAGTGGGTATGAGTTACTCGTGTGTAAACTGCCGCCTCTCTAGGCTTACTTGCCTTGGTTAAACCGTTCTGACTGCACAGCCCATCTCAGTGTGGCTGTCTCAGTCGCTGGCAGAATCTGTCTGTGGGCGTTTCTTAAACCTCTTCCAGCATAGAAGCTGTTTGACACCCAGTCGTCTCCGCCTCTCACTGCGCGGGAGTCTTCTGCGCAGGGAGGGCGTGGGTAGTGGAGGACCTGTGCTCTCCTCACTGATGTCCAGAGAAGAATCTCGAAGCCCTCCCTCCGCTTCCTCAAGTTGCCCCTCCTTATCCCTGGTGTTGCGCTGATTTCCTTCCTCCTCTACCGGGCTCCTCCTTCCCCTGGTGCTGGGTCCTTCGCCCACAGAATCAGGGAGCCTCCCCTCCGCCTCTCGCTCTGATGTCAGTTCCCTGACAGATACCTTTTAAGGTTGATTTGTGAATGAGACGAGCCAAAAGGGATTTGGTTTCCAGGTATAAGAAGTCATAATTCACCCGGAATACAAACTTGCCTGTCAATCGCAATGGAGTTCTCCCTTCCCCCATCACCCCACCCTGGTACTATTCTATATATGATAAAATCTTTCCTTCAACTAAGGCCACCTTCTGCTGATCCCACTTTGCCCCAGACAAGCCACAACTCTTTCTGAGGTACCCTGCTTGGGCTCTGGATTAATCTGAATCAAATGGACATCCTTGCTATTAAGGTATGTACTACATTTACGATCCATGTTTCTGCTAACTCATCCAAGGTGGTTTACAATTTAAAATAGTGTTCTGTTCTAATATATGCAATACTAAAAGGGAAGTGGGATGGGGAGGAAAGAGGAAAACAAACAAATCCAGGTATCAGTTCTTATCACAGTTGTATTCTCATTTTTTATATATGCATAGAAGGGGTAAAAGATGCTGTCCTTCATTGAGAGAGATGGCATATGGCACCTGCTATGCAGATATATCCTTCATTTTTTTAAAAATATCCCCAAATTTTTAATATTTATACGTTATAGATTTTTACACTTTTAAATACAAACTTGATATTACACAGACTAAAACAAGGCAGATTTTTTTAAAAAAATGAAGACAATGTATATATAATGCTCTTAACAAATTTAGATTGTTGCAAGGTAATCAGAAGGTAATTGTAGCTTTTATGTACATTTAAAAAAAATCAACGGATGAAATTTGTTCTTTCCAGACTGCTGAGTAATCTATTTCGTTATTAAGTTATTCCAGGTTTTACTATACTAAAGTACCATAATAGGCAGCATACACTTTTGTTCGTGGAATGAAATCCTACATTTAATTTTGCCAGTTTCCTTCATTTTGCCATGTTTTTCCCCCTTGCACTGCAGCCCACAGCCTTCCAGTATCCCACTTTAAGCTGTGGCATGCTGAGCACTTTGCTCAAATTGCTCCAGGACATTCAATCATGTTAGAAGGATTATCTCCCATTCTTCCCTCAGAGATCCAAATCATCACCTGAATGGCTCTCCAGGCTGGCAATGGCAATCGTTATCAAGCCAGAAGCTTCCATATGGAAAGTACAAAGTTAGACTAGCTGCGTGTTCAAGTTTGCCTAGTTCTCACTTCCAAAAAGTATTTTAATGGATTCATAGGAGAGGGTCCAAAAACCCAGGCAGATAGTTCCATACTGTTAAGCTGTGGGTGAACATATCAGACGACACAGCGATTCTTCAAACAGCTCTTGTTTATTCACAGGTCAGAACAGAACTGAACTGAAGGGTTCAGTCAGCCTGCTTATACTGTATAGAGCTCCAGTACAACGTAACTGTAACAATTTTCTAAAACTATCCAATCACTGAACGTCACTTTCGATCCCTTATTTGCATAACTATCTACAGTATCCCCCTGCTGGCCCAGGGTGAGACTTCTGTACATAACATATACTTCCAACAGGGCTGTGGATTTGTGTTTCTTAAACAGCTGCCCTCTTACTCCAAGTGGTAAACTGCTTTCGAAATGGGGGTGGCATTCAAAAGTAGTTGGCTATATGGGTGGTGGTGGGGATTAGTCTAGCGTTCAATGAAAACAAATCAAACACCCCTCTTGGCATGCACATGCTTATCTTTGAATCTTGGACATTATTATGATGTCCCCAAATGAGGACAGTTAGCAAGTAAATTAGTTGTTCACAAATACATTACTGCTAGACTCAATATAATTCTGTTGAATTATTATCTGCATAGTCTTATCAAGATGGAAAAAAGGAAGGAGCTGCAGAGTGAAAACAATTGCATGTCCATTTATTACTTACCCTTCAGTTGGATAAAGTATAAATTGCTGTTTTGCAAATACACGCAAGGGGGGGAAATGGGCAACAGCTTGAGCGTGTCTGCAAATTCATTCAGATGATCCCCTCAAAGGTCAAAGAATGCCTAGAAGTAATTTTCTCTCTATTTGAATCAAATGAGTGTGGACTTTAAATATTCCTCCAGTGCTAAAGTTTGCAATCTCCATTACTCATTCCAATAAATTTTCAAGCAATTGCTGGAGGCTTGAAGTCAAACAAAGTGCACCCAAACTGAAAGTGGTAACCCCAGCAGTGATGAGCATATCTTGACAGGCAGACAATGGTGAGCATTAATTAATGCGCAGAATGCACATATAGAATGGAGAGAAAACCATTATAAACCTAAGTTAAGCACAGTTATTTCTGAGGAGTGGGGGGAGGAATCCTAATATTTTGTAAACATATATTATTGCTGCTTCTTAGTTTTAACAGAGAACTGCCCAATCCAGAAATTTCTCTCTCTGTGTGTGTAAGTCTGTTACAAAATGGTACAACCTTTACCAATGGATAACATGGATCTCCATACACAAAGAAATGATTCCATGGATCTGCTTCCTCCACCGAAATGAGTGACCCAAGAAGAGATCAGGGCCACTGTACTGCAATTGCATCCTGCATTGTAGATCCTTCATCGAGTAGAGGGTTGGATCCTTTAAAGAATGTATTAAGTATAAAGTAGCATATAAATAAATTAAACAAATAAAATAGGTGACCTTTGAAGTCCCTTCCAGTTCAAAAATTCTATGCAGTTCTGTGCAGGTTCCCATATCTTGGAATGATGGCATCTAAAATATGGACACACTTTTACTCTCACAAGATTGAATGTATTGCCCTCGGCTGTTCTTGAGGGACAATTCCAACAGATTCCACACGAAAAATGTTTGTGTCCCTGTGGAGATGGCAGTACCAAATCGGTGGCGCATGTCCTTCTGGCTTGCACTCTTTATAAAGACCTGAGGAATGAGATTATCACCCCTCTTTTATTGTCCATTCTGGGTCGCCCAGCCACTGCCACAGTTTCCTTTCTCTTGGCTGATCAAGATGAGCAGGTGACAGCAAAGGTTGCAAGGTTTTTTAGCTGGGGCAGTCAGAATAAGATCCACTATTTGGCTATTGATTCAAAATCCTAAAATGTATTTTATATAATTGACTTTTTATTTCTATTCTTTGTATATCGTTGTTTTATTGCTATGGCTGATGGCTGACGCAAATAAAGATTCATTCATTCATTCATTTCTTGAACTGATGGCTGGATCAGGGTGTTTGACTTTCCAAAAGGAATAGCATTATGGATTCACTAACTGTGGGAGTAGTCTTTTATTCATACAATGGTTTTTATTTGGGTAGAATTGCACTTCCACAAAGGAAATTAAGTTTCCATTTTTTTTAAAGGATCAACAGAAAACTAGAAAACTAACCTGAACATTATATGAAGAGTGGATACAAAGAAAGGCAATACTGTAGAAATATTCTGTAAAGTCAACCCTACATCTTGAATGTTTTTGATTTTCAGTGTTTATTCTTTTTGTTTGATGCATTAGCAAACTGCATTGTTGAATGCAATTTCTATTTAGCACCACATCTTTCCAATCTGTTATTATCACTTATCCCAGCCTTTCCCATCCCCAATATCCCACTATCTTTCCTTCCTCATTTCCTACTACAGTATTTTTCATCCCATCATATCCCACTCTGTAAACGGGCAAAAGAGGAGGGTGGGAGGAAACTGCAGGTAGATGTGAATATAACTTTACATGGCAAAGCAACACTACCAAACTAATGGAAAACAAGATGTTCAAAGAGTTTTCTAAAATATTAAGCTGTTTTTAAGTAAAATAGTAA